TTTTTTTTTTTGCTTTCTCGGCCTCCCGTGGGATCTACCTCCTCGTCCCCACTCGTCGGTCTTTCCAACTTTTATTATCGTTTCAAATGCCCAACACCCCTTAAAAAAAATCGGGTTTCCCTCCATACAAAAAGAACCCCTTCGGGCCTCTACCCAATAAAAACCTCGCCCCCGCCGGGGCGTGACCCTACTGCCCGGTTCTTCCCCCTCCCCCCCCCCCCAAACAGCCCGGGTCTACATGCAACATTTTTCCGATGACCGTCTTATCTTCTTCGCTGAGTGAGTTTGAGAGGCTAATAGGCATGCATATGACGGAACACTTTAAGCCTGTCTTTGTTGGTTTTGTTTTTACGTACCGAACATTTTAATTTTAATTTTTTTTGTCCCTCGATGCTATCAGGGAGCTTAAGCAACTCGGGTGCTGACGGCGGCTAAAACGTCACTCAGTAAAAAGTTTCAAACTCCATTGCTCTTATTCCATCTCGTTCGATTTGTCAAATGTTGGCGAATTTTTCTGGAGTACTTTATTTTTGAATGAATGATCCAAACTTTTCTATCGAGAGGTGCTGCAAGCTTATGAATTATGCAGACGACTCGAAAATTCACACTTCAGATCCCTTTCCCCAGCTTGGAGCATTTTTATTGGGACGTAGCCAATACGCTGCACTTGTGTTTTAAAACAACGCGAATCTCTTAAGAAGGGCCGGGCAATTGTGCTGGGAAACATTAGAGAGCTTAAGCATCACGATTACTCCAACTTGTACCACGTGACCAAGTTTCCCCTTTACTTGTTGTTTACTGCTAATTATTTCTACACATAAGTTAGTGTTTCACGCAATTTTTCATCCAGAAGATTTTGAGCTGTTTAATCTGCTCATTTTCTATTTTGAGAAATTCTCAACTTGAATCTGATCATGACGTTTGCCGTATACGTGAAGCTTAAACTCCCTACTAATCACCATATGAAGCCGGGATAAACTGATTCACATTTTTAAAATAGATCAAGTTATATTTACGGCGTTACATTAGATAACAGGCCCAAATGTGATGCCCCCATTGCCGATATTTGTCATAAAGTAAGTGCACTGAACAGTTAAAAAATATTTAACCTTGTAGGATACAGAAGCACTGTATTGGGCCTTTAATACATTTTTCATAACTTTTTTATTGTAGCCGAGCCTTACACTATTGTGGGGCTAGGAACACTTGTAAGCTAGAGGAAATGAGCGCCGGGAGTGCGCCCTTAAATTCATTTACAAGAAAAATTCTACATCCTGTCATGCTAGGCTAACACAGCACATTGAAAAACCTTAGGTTCCAGGTCATGTTACTAACTATAAGCATTTGCATTTTAGCGAAGAGCAACGGCGAACATTAATCGCCTTATTAACGTTGCCTAGTCCCCACTAGGCCTCATTATTCCGCGCGGCCAATTCGTTTCTGGTCACGTGGTCCGAGCGAAGAAGTGGTCACCGAAGTGAGTTGACCGAGAAGGCCTGGTAAAACGCCGTGCAGGGACTAGGCAATTATATGTGGCTAAATATCATTTAGGCAAAGTTAAAATGTGAGCAAATGCAGCCAGCGGTCTCCCTCATCTGCAGCACGTGACCTTTGGGGTGGCCTCTAGAGGTTTCTCAGGGTTTCAAGGTTCATTGCTTTACACGTGCAGTGTTATCAGCTGATCTTTGCGGATCAAACGCTTTGCTAGTGCGAATCATTGCGGATTCTTGCACCCTCTCCTCCCTCCCTCTTTTGCATTGGGTCATCAGGGTAAGTATTTTCAGGTAAGTTATTTCCACTGATTGTTTCAGTGTGACGGTGCCGGTTAGCGGGCGCTTTTTTGGGTGGTTCCCGCGTTCCAGGGTTGCCATGGATACCTCCCCTGCAGCTTGGCATCTGGCACCCCGCTAACCTTTTAGGCACCAGTTCCCAAGCTCATCTATTTGTGATGAGTTTAA